TCTAGAGAGATGAAAAACTATTTGGGCTAATTTCTATTCAGAGATCCTCAGCTCTTTCATTCAAAGATTAAGCTCCCTCAGTTTCTTAGCAGCTGATGTTCGCACATATCAGTCTGACATTCATTGAGTGGCCAGTGCTTCTGCACTACTCACTGCCTTAAAGTATTCTAGCAAAGACACTTATTATCCAAGTCAGTCAAAAAGTTATCAGCTGCATCTGGAAGTAGCAGGCTACAATCTACAAGAAGAAAAAGCCCTGCTTTTGACTACATCTGTATGGCTTGATATAAGGTCACATCAAAGATGAATATCATATGTGAATAATTCTGTCACTCCATTGACACATTCACTAACAACTTTGAAAAACAAAACACAAAAAAACACCAAAAAAAACCCCAGTATTGTCCCCTATCTGGCCTCCTTCCCTCCAAAATGTTGAGGCTGGAAAAATCAACCCACTCTCTGTGCCAACACTAACATGCACTTCTTGCTACTTTGCTTCTTCAAAAGCCCCTTCCCTGCCTTTTCTTGGCACAAACCTGAAAACTGTCTAAAATGCACCAATTTTCTACAGAATGTTTAAGCTCAGTGCATTTATTTTTTAATGTTTCACTCATTCTGTACTACTTCAGAAAACAGAAATTCAAATACTAGCTTCTATGTACTTTGGTCCATGTTTGAAAATTGAATCTAACAAGCCTTTTATCTTAAAATAGTTAGAATAAAAACAAAGAGGCAGGTAAAATGGAATTAGAAGTCATTGGAATGACTGTGAGTTCTAACAAATTACATGCTCTCAGTCCACCTATTTAACCTTTTTTTTTTTCTTGATTTTACCATCTAGAAAATGCAGGTTAGGATTTATGCTTTCCTTCCCAACACATTATAAATAAGAATTACATGTGGGAACCTTACAAGTTCAAAGTGTTATTTTTGAGAAGTACCAGTGAATCTCTCAAAGTTACTTATCAAGCTGTTGGGTTTGTGCTCAATCAAGCCTATGTCTTTTTCTATTTTATTTTCAGTCCTTCACATCATAGTGAGGTTTCAGGGGAAAAAAAAGATTTGAACTCAGCCAAGAGCCTGAAACTGTCCTTGTCTTTAACTATACCTAAATTTAGAGCCACTGGAAAAGGAGTTTTGGTTTAGATCCAAAAGAAAACAGTGAAACCAGCCATCAGTCAATATCTCATGTGGACTTCACAGCCTTGTTTCACTTCTTCAGCTTTATTTGTGGCCTTCTATTGATTTTGGGTTTTTTTAACAAGAAAAATGAAAGGATTAGTGGCTGAGACTTTATGTCATTATAATGCTTTTGAGAAGACTGACACTCCTGCAGGAGGACAATGGTAAAATGAAATTAAAAAAAAAAAAAAACCAACCAAAAAAACCCCCAACGGTAACAAAAACAAGAGGAAGAAAACCTCAAACAAAAACAAACCCTAGATGTCTGACAGTTATGTAACAAAACCAAAAAAAGATAAACAAAATTTTAAAGTTCTAGTTCAACTGCACCTCTATTTGCTAATGTGTACCCATATAAACTTTAATTACATGATTGTATACAGCTTTTCAAATATTCAGTAAAATAGCACACACTTTTTCCTTAGGTGTTTATGTATCAAATAATTTAAAACTGTTCTGTACTATTATTTTTATGCCCAAATAGATTCCATTAAAGTAATTTATATGGAAAACAAAGAGCAAGGCATTTCACAAAACTTATTACCAAGCAATAGTAAACATTTTCCATAAAACAGAAGTCACCTATGCTTCTAGCTAAATTAGCATCATAGTTAACTACCTCTCCTGCATGGCATGTCTGGAAGATAACAGCACCCATCTGAACAGGTAAATGGGCTAAATAGTTAAATGTTCCAGCCTTTTCAGAGAATAACATATGCTCTGCTGACGGACAGAAAGAAATTGTATATGGTTCAGTCCACAATCTGATTACATGTTGAGCACCTCCCAAGAGGCACTCAGAATTACTCAGGATTGAATCCAAGACGATTAAAATTCATACCATGGAGAGGAAAGACCTACATAAAGAAAAAAAAAGAAAGAAAAGCAAAAAACCTCAGTCACCTCTGACTCCTATTAGTGTAAAACTAATGGAACCCCTCCAGAGGTTTCTCCAGAGTGATGAGAGAAACAGGCCCTGCTGCCTTAAGAGAAATAAGTGCATTTAAAAAACAAACTAACTAACAAACCCTTTCTGACAATAAATAGATGTCAAGGATGGAGGAAGGAAGGCTGCAATGTACCTCAGGTATGGATCTGAAGTCTTGTTAAACAAACATGAAAACACTGAAAAATTATTGTAAGTGAAAAACTCATCTTACTGAGGTGAACAGGAATCCTGTTACATTATTTAAAAGGAATAGGATTTTATGCTGCATGATCATATAATTAAAGTGTCAGAATGCACACACCCAGGAGAAGAGAATTAATGCTGAACATGGAATTAACATTGGTATTTCATGACTCTCGAACAATTGCCACATAACCCTAACATTCTCCGCATGCTGCCTTACACACAGAAGTGCCTAGGGCTTCGTAAAATTGAACAGCGGTGAGGAGAAAATGTTCCGTATTGCAGCTCCATTTGCTTGAGTGTTTCTGAAGCATTTTTATCTCACAGCCCTTAAAATCTGGAGGAAGGTTGCTGGATGTGCAGTTGGATTGGCACCCTGCAAAGCATTCTGAAGAGAGAGCAGTGCAGGACTGACCTCCCCAGGAGCAGAGCATGCTGCAGAACATGAGGCAGAGTCTGGTTGCTGCTTCCACTTCACTTGATGAGAGAAGTGAGTTATGCCAGCTTTCTTGCCATCGCTTTCTCACCAAGGGGAAAGAAAGAAAGAAAAAAAAGAAAAAAAATAGCTAACCTTCCTAACAAAATCTTAGCCTTCTCAGTCCCTAAATATCTGCAAAAGATTTGAAACAAGAACAGCAATATTTCTAAAGGGAGAAGAGGGGGAGGAAGGCAACTGCTGCTCACTTCAGAGTGGTGCTACACATAATATGTTAACATACAAAAAGAAAATCACTTCTTCACCTCTTTGCTCCCCTGCACAGGAATGCAGTTTCGGTCATGATTGCACCTCAGGAACTCCACAGTAAAAAGCCGCTCCAGCAAGGTTAGGAACTGGGCATGTCTTATCTTATAAGATGCTCAGCAAGGGCTCTGCTTCCAGAAAGATGGGCTTCCTTTTGCAAGGACAAATTTTAATCTGCTTTTCCTACAAAATGAATTGCTGGTACAAACGTGAGTTCTTGAGCCAACAATTCATACTGCTGATTCAAAAGCAGACTGGGCACAGCCTGTTTCAGAAAAAAAAGGTATTTTTTTTAGAAGATATCTGCTTATGAATGCTAAGACTCCTGTAAAGGACAGGAAAGAGCAGACTGTGAAGCTAAAAATAACCACATACATGTAAATATCATGTACTCTAGCGCTACCACAGCATCTTTGGCCATAATATAGCAACCAAATGGATATGAGAATAGCTACAGATCAAAAGCAGTCTCCAGTCGAGTATTTAAAGACACTTCTTTTCCAGGAGAGAAACTCTAATTTGTAAGCCATACTTCCCTTTTTATCACTGGGCAAAAATGCCAAATAAGCCATTTTAAAGAGGCACAAGAGAAGCTCCAACCTTAGAACAAATTTGCCTAAAAGACAAAATTTACAAAGCCAAGTAGCAGCTGCATGGCATCAGAATGGAAACTGCTACATAACCTAAAACTTAACAAAAACCTTCAGGACCACTGTAATAAGAGATGATATTTCTGATTCCAGCACATTTTTTAGGGGTTGAATTGTTCAAAGAATGAGCCTCAGTTCAGAAAATCACATAAACACAACCATAGCTGTAATCATGAGAGGAGTTCCCTATTTAACTTGATTATTCAGTTGGCATGATTAAATTCTAAGTGCTTAACTGTGTTAACACAAACGTCAAAGTTTTTGTCTCAGTAAGACGAATTAAGTAAGCTGAAATTCATTGCACTTGTATATTTGAAGCGGTAGATTTCAGATTACCTCATCTCCTTTAATGTAAGCATGCCATTTTGCCAAAAGCTGTCACTCCCTTGTTTCCTATGGGTTTGCTATATTTTAATGAGAAACTCTATTTACTGATTCTGATATTACATGGAAAAATAAGGTTTTCCTTCAGTAAGATGATTACACATAAATGTTACACAGAAACACAAGAGGGTTTTTTGTTTGGGTTTTGGTATTTTTTTTTCATTCATAATTTCTGAAGGAAGCATATTACCCACCAGCAGAAGGCAGTGAATGAGAGAAGGCCTTGGTTCACAGCTGTGCGCAGCGTGCTCCATGTGCAGCGACGGGTGCACAAAATGAGCCATTTGGGATGCCCTGATGTAAGGGCTGGCTCTGCGCTGGCCCAGTGCCCGTCAGAGGGAAGGTAAAGACACGAGGCTGCGCTATGCACCGAGGGCAGCGAGGCCCCCAAGGTGCCAATCTGTCAGCCAGGCAACGTCAAAGCAAAGCAGTAATGCAGACATGCCCTCCTTTTTACTTGTCACACCCCCGGATCCCTGATTCTCTCTCTCTTGACTTAAGCAGTGCTGATCTTCAGAAAGCAAACAACATAACACAGAACATCTATTTTCTAGGACTAGCTGTTATCTCTTATAAGAGAATATTCATCATTACCTTTCTCTATTCCCTATGTAAAAAATCCAACTAATATTAGTAATAAAATATTTTCTTTTTATCAATGGTGGTAAAACACCTTCATTATCATGCTCCTTTAAAGAAGCGTAGCTAATATATATGTAGACCCTAGGGATGTAATGTGTTGCTGGTTTGAAGTCCTGAATATTTTTCATTTTCAAACTATGACTTTATCCCATCCTTACTTAAGTCAATCACACCAACAGAATTGCAATTTTCAAGTTGCACCATATAAACACATCAACAAGCAAGCAAGCATCTGCACCCTCCAAAGTTTGTTTAAATCCCCTACCTTTCCTACATAGAGTGGGTCTGTACCCATGTATTCTTCCAGCACAAAGAACTGATTCCACACCCAGCTGCGTTTGGTTCTCGTCCTTCCTGATTGAAAGTACGGCTTTGACCTGGACCTTGAGAGCTCTGCTTGATTCATCCCAGAAAGACACAGGAAAAGAGCTAGCATCTGCAGAAAATGGCAGAACTCCACTTTGCCCAACTTCATCTTTTTTTCTTTTTTTTTTTTCCGTGTAATAAAAAACCTTGAAGAAAGTGGGCACAATTCCAGTTGTCTCCGTAGCTCTAGCCTCCAGCAAGGTGTCAGTTGGGAGTCCAGAGGTAATAATTTGTGGAGTGGTCGATTGGAAGAAGTCACCACTGTTGAATAGCCTTCACCAAAGAAATGGTGTAAGAGGTACCTATCAGCGACAAAAGACAAGAACTGTTATCAGAACTTTTTCTATTTTTAAAGAATGCAAATTCTTTGCAACTTTCACATAATGCATCAAAAATGCTTACTTATAATTTTTCTCATCATCAATACAGTCGAATTTATATCATAAGACTCAGAGTTTAGAGCACATTCCTTAGGTGGCATTACTACTGCTGATAGATCTGTATATTTATAAAGCTTTCTCATGACTGTTCTCTTAATACAACAGTTTCCCCAGTACAAAGCTTATTTTTTTCACTTCAAAATAATCAAAGCAAGTGTAGTTTTTTTTATATTTATTTGTTTCAATTTCTCTTCCTGTCTGCTACAGTCTGCTTTACCTGCCACATATATATGATATAATTACAAACCAGCTACAGGCAGTAAGTTACATTAATGGCAAAGACATACGCTAGCTTAACATTCTTCCATATAACTGAAAAGTAAAATAACAGAATATAAGATGAATCCACTTTTTTTCATTGATTCTTAGTCACACTATATATGTTATATATATATGTTATGATTTGTTCTGATCTGAATCTGACCCGCTAAAAAGCCTTCAGAGTTTCCCCACTCATTTTCACTACATTCCTAAAGCAAATGTCAGGCACAGTAAGAAGTATGTTGATATATCAGTTTATTTACTTATACACAAATATGTTCAGAAAGATCAGAGAATAATGTGATTTTGTATTTTCAATGAAACCTTGATTTAATGATTAATGATTTTTCAGCACTAACAAACAATTTTTATCTTTTTATGTATCTTGTCCATTTTTATTTCAACATCTTGATCATTTAATAACTGGTCGAACTCACTAGAAAAAATATTCATTTACAAAAAAAAACCCTTCAGTATTTTAAAAAAATCTTTTTTCTGCCTTTTACAAATGTGAGCCTTCTGTGATCACATAAAAATGTGTATTATAATGTTTTTAAAAGTACAAGTTCTGCCAATTAGAACCAAACATAGCTTTGTTTTTCAGGTAAATCACCTGCATTAACCGCAGGTGAATAATGCTCTCTCTGCAATAGGCACCCTTCTTGTTTGGGTGAGCAATGAAGCAGATGAGAAGTTTTTAAGAAGTGCCAAATACAAGCTGAAAATGAGGATGAAATTAAAACAGATAACAAGGCTTTCATTTGGAGTGAATCGCCACTACTTAGGAAGCCATGGAAGAAAGATTTCATCCTTTCTACATTTAATTAATCTAAAAAGGCTAGACATTAAATAACATACACATTAAATGCACTAGATAGATTATAATTATATCCTTACCCACTACTATTAAAACTGAATGAAATGTGATCTATGTTATTTGTTTTCAGTACGTCTGGCTCTTTTAGCCGAGGAACGCCTAGGCATTGTGCTGCCAAAGGTACCTAGAGGGCAAAAACATGAAACAAATAAAAAGCTCTTCTGATTACAGACTGTATTTAAAGCCTTTTTATAGTAATCCCTTCTGTGGTACTGCCCTGCACCAGAAAGGCTTTGCTTAGAGGCTGGTGGGATAAACCACAAACCCACTGAGCATGTTTGCTAAGCAGCAGCAATTTGAAAGCTTCCATATGTGAAA